GCTTAAAGCAGGAAAGAGGAATAATCATAATAAGGGCCCTGCTATTCATTTTACATGGTGCAGCTTCCTGCAGTAATTCTGATTTTTTTCCAGCAGCGCAGCTTTACTAAGTTACTGTACTTTCATTATTTTATTTATTTATTTATGTAGTAATTAATCTGTATCAGCACTCTTTTGGTTTTGTAGTAATTTATTTAAGAAACACAGCTTTGTGATTTGGACAGCGATTCATTTTGTGCAACTTTCCTAGCAGCTTTTTTTTAAACATTTACAGTAATATCGTTTTACACTGCACAGCTTTTATATCATTTACAGTAATTTCTTCATGTGGCACATTTCTCTTCTGCTTCACTCTTTTCTAAATAATAAAATGAAAAAAAAAAACTAAATACAGACAGATCTAATTTGAACAAAATTAGATATTTTGGTGCAGAAATATATTTGAAAGCTTAGTCTATATAATTTCTATTTAAGTGAGGATCAATTTATTTAAAATGAGTAGTGATTTGCTGTCCTAACCAGCAGTAATTTATTGATTTTTGATGGTCARTGTTCGAGAAGGATCTGGAGGTGCCCCAAGCCTTTGTGTGGATAATTAAGTCACTACTTTTTCACTGTACAACTCAAACTGTTATGAGTTTTCTCAACTTCCCCCTTATGCTTTTATTTATTTATGAGTCATGCAGAAATATAGATTTTATGCAGTGAGCAACTGATGCACAAAATAAATAAATAAAAATCCCTACAGATTCTTCTGAAWTTTTACTGCATTGGAACCAAATTAAAATCATAAAAGTACACATAAAATAAAAGGAAATCAGTTGTGTAATACAGAAAGTGAAACCACACAACCATCCCTTTGTACATTTTGTCCTGGCAGAAATAATTAACCCATTCATTTATTTACTATCCCCAGTAATTATTAACCATAACTTGCAGCTTCTAAATCCTCTCCTAATCACACGTTAATGTTAAAAGTTATGCACTGTTTGTCTAAAATATAAAACAGAAATGTTTTTTGGGATTCCTGTCCCGTATACTCCTATTATCACTCAGCTTGTTTGTGTGTTGTTGCATCCTTTATGTGCTGTGTAGGTGTGCGCAGATGGGTGTGTTTGTGTTTAAAGGCGGACTGCAGACAAAAGCTGCAAAGCTGTGGCAGCGGTGGTGTCTTGTACCTCTAAAGAGGAGGAGCTCAGTGTTTCTACATGTGACTTTTCTTTTTTTCCTCTCTCCCTCTGTGTCTGTCATGAGTTTCGGAGCTTTACTGCCACCCCACTGTAGAGCTGGGCGTTCACGCCAGCACCAGGCGTGACTTTCCGTCTCGTTTACGTCAGAGCGTGAACAGAGGAATGTCCAAACTGTGCTTTATTTACAAAACAGCTCTTTAGTTTCTTTTCCCGATGGCGCGCAACACTTAAGACACCCAACATGGGTCTTTGTCTGCCACCAGGTGACAATTAACCAAAATAAAATACAAGGTTTTCTGAAAGAAAGTGCAATTTTAATGACTGTTTGCATTGAACTTGTCCAAACAGGTCAGTGTGCTGTCAAAAAAAAAAATCCATTCAGAAAGGAAAATGAGCTGCAACCGGAAGGATGTGACATTTGGAGAGAAGTGCTGAGCAAGCAAGGTGTGGTCAGCTGTGTGTTGATGGGTGCTTTCACCCCTGTCACTGCTTTTCACAATGATTTTACCATCATTATAATAAAGCATTTTTATACTGACAGATATTTAAATAACATTAAATATTAGCTTTTACAGAAGATTACACTTTGATCCAACTAAGTTGTGAATCAGATGTAAAAGTATTGAAATAATAAAATGTAAATACGGCTTTCAAACAGTATTTCAAATAAAAAATCATCATCATAGAAAGGTGTGCAAAACAGATGCACAATTTAAACAAGGAATATAAATGACCATTTTTTGTTTTTSTAAAAAAGATACTCATTTGCAATGTCACGATGACTGAAAACAAAATCTAAATCTGCCCTTTTTTTCTCATATCAATGGTTAAAAGTGTTCTTAAACTTAAAATTTGTAAGCATAATTTCTAACAAGACCAGGTGTTTGTTTACATACAGAAAAAACCGAAGTGATTAGAAATAGACAACTTGTTTAGAGAATATCTTTACAATTTATCCAAATGATCCTTGCTCATCTTGTTTTTAACCTCCATGTTTATCAGATTAACTCATATTTTTGTCTWAACAGTTTCTTAGATTCTACGCATCTGATTTTGCCTAATTTATTTGCCTCCACAGACTGCGGCCAGCTTAATGCAGATCAGTCAGGTAAATCAAGCTTCTAGTTGTGCTTCGTTTACATTGAGTGCGTACCTGCATTTCAACAGATTTACTAAACTACTGGAGTAAACTCTTTCAAACAGCACTCTTTGATATAATCCAGTGACCTTTTCATGTTCTTTTATCTGTAATAAGTACTTTTAACACTGTACAGAACCACTGTTTATTAAATATTTTTATATATTATTTTTAAAATATTAATTGGAATAATCAAAGTACTATTTTAAATTATTAGTAGCAAAGAGTTGAAGAAAATGTATTTATATCTTGATAGTGTCTGTTATTTGATATTTTCAAGAGCAGTCTGTTGCTGCTTTCAATGACTTCAGCTAAATTTTGACCAGCAGGGGTCGCTGTTACACCTCAGTGTCTGAGCTTTGTGCCTTTCCAGAGCTGGATTGACTTTTATTTAATAGACATAATTCAAAGAAACACTTTCACTTTAAACCGTTTTATGATGTTTGTACTAAATGATAAATGGCTTGAACTTAAAAAGCACTTTGTGAAGTCTGTACGGATTCCAAAGCACATTAGGCTCCAATCATTCASACACTGATGGTGGTAAGCTACAATGTAGCCACAGCTGCGCTGGGGCAGACTGACAGAGGCATCAATGGGCCATCTGACCACCACCAGCAGGCACAATGGGTGACGTGTCTTCTAAGGACTCAGACTGTAGGAGTACCAGTACAGGACCTCTTTGAGTTTCCTGTGATTAGAATAAGGCTTTCCTTTAAAACGTGTGCAAYGCAAAAACTCAGTGAGGCTGTTAGAAACACAAAAACCAAGCAAACTTGAGAAATTAGGAGTGAATTTTTTTGTGTTTTCCTAAAAGCAGCTTTTTATAAATAGCATAAAAGCTCTCTCAAATTCACAAATTGGTACAAAATTGTTTGTTGTTTAAGCTGAGTAAACTCCCACTGTGTTGTGGTTACTTTATGTGACCGCCAAAATAAAAGCTTGATGTGAACAGTCTCAACTGTAAGGAAAAACCAGAGTCAAGGTGAGAAAAAAAAAGGCAAGCCTTTTTTAATTTGTTCAAAGTTGACTTGTTACTCAGTTTTTGTACAACAAAGCCCATAAATTAACACATTTACAACAATGAATCTTGATGCACGTGTACAATTTAAAATGATAAGAACAATCCTTCACAAATATCACCCTACTTTCACCAAATATGTATATAATCGAACTGAAATTTGGAGAACGTCTTAACAGGATGTCTCGAGTGCTGTGTTTTAGAAGATATTCAGTAAGAAATCTGTTACTGGCACAATGTAAATAAAGCTTATTCTACGTTCTTCAAATGTCAAAAATTATTTTATAGTTAGAAATGGGTTTAAATATTCTAACATAAATTCAGACTTTTGGTTGTAAGAATATGCTTTACTAGTCAACCTGTCAAGGCTTAGCACACACTGCAGCTGTTTTCTCCTTAAATTACTAAACAGAATATAAGTCATGCAACTCCATCCTAAACAAAACAAACATCCCTTTAAAGAAAAAACATCTAGAATAAAGTAAAAAATATAACTCTTGTTTGTCCATATGAAGAGAGGATAATTTTGCTCACTGGAACGACTCAATATCGACCTGTGAAAGACAACAGTCATTAGACAAAATCCCAACTAATCAAGCTGCTTTAATAAAACTGATATTTAGGGAGGACTTACGAGGGGAATAAGATCGAGATCTTGACCGAGACCGGTACGCGCCTCTGTAATATGGTGAAGGAGAGCGACGTCTGGAAGAGACGCAAAATAAACATTTGATTTGGTCTATTTTACGTAGCAGGAAAAAAGCAGACAAACTAAAACATGTAAGAGGAGAATCAACTTTCCTTTTTAAATAAACGCTAAAAAAAACTGGGACTGTCACCTGTATGATTTGTAGTATTCTCTGTCATCATAGCGTTCGTAGCCTCCTCTGTCGTAGCCGCGATCGTACCCACGATCATAATCGCGTGAATAGCGTCGAGGCCCGCCAGGACCACCCCCACCTCCACCACCGCTAAAGAAAACAATTAAAACTTGGTTACAATTTATTAATTTGTTATTTTAATGTAGAAGAAGTCAGTGATTCCTGTTGCTAACCTCACAGTGCTCATTTGTTACATGGCCCATGTATTTTTTTGTCATTCGGTTTATAAAATAAAGAACAGATATTGAAAAATGGACGATTATTCGTTGTTTTAATTTTAAACTCCAAAAACAGAAAAACGGTCCGCACTGTTGTCAAGCTCCAGGAAACAGTTTAAATCATCAGTGACTTTCCAACTATCAGCTGACACCTGCTAACGAAATATCAAACTAGTTAGCTAGCATTTATTTATTGCGGTTGCCTGGATAGCTAGTTAGACCACGTTCATTCAGACCATTTAAGGTGGYGCTAGAGAAACAGCTTTTAAAAATAAATTAGCTAAACTAGCTATATCAATAAAAACAGTCTGCAGTTAGTTATTTAAAGAAACACAACAGTAGGCAGCTAGCATTTATGTATTTATTTACAGGCCATCGCCTGTTATTATTTAACTAGCTCCACCTTAAATAGCCTAATGATGACAGTGCTAAACTTCTAGTTTGAGAAAAATATGACTGCTTTCCAGTTTTTGCAGTATAAATGAAAATAGAATAACCATCTGTTTTTAAAATTAAAACTGAATGAACAAACAGTAGCAGCTATCCTTTTCTTTCTTTTCAATAGATTTGCCCTAAAAGAGCCACAATAGCTGCAGTTTAGAGTTTAGACTGTAACTACAACCAGAAGTTATGTTTCTGTTAACTCACTGTGTGGGTCGTCCCATGTAGATTCCAGGGGTCGGGGTGTGAGCTCTTTTAGTGATGGAGAAATCCACCCTGATTCTACGACCATCCAGCTCCATGCCGTTTGCTCGCTCCTTTGCCTGAAAGTGTACAAACACATAAACTGAATTTAGAGAACGTTCTTTAATAGCAGGTAGAGAATAAAATGGATTGGTTCTTTTACCTCTTGTGCATCATCTGTGTTCTCAAAGTAAACAAAAGCAAAGCCCCTGGAGCGCCTCGACTGCTGGTCATACACGATGTTGACATCTGCCAGTGGTCCATATTTAGTGAAGACGTCCCTCAGGTCCCTCTCTGTAGTGTACAGGCTCAGGCCGAACACTCCCAGGCAGCAGTTTGGATTTGGATTAGCCTGCAGCAACATATTAAGATATGAACACAATCACTGCCTAATAAATTACCCATGGAAACAACTTTATGCTTTTAGATTTCATGCAGAAGTTAAAATTACGGACAAGTTTCTAAAACATTTTAATGATCACAATGAATATTTTCGTCAAGGAGGCAGCACTGAAGGAGCACTGAGTACATACACGATTGCCGATGTGTCTGCGGCGATTGGACATGGGCGAGTGGCTGTGGCTTCTGCGCCGACGCTCTCCGCTGTAGGATCTGCTGCGAGACCTACGGTGATGGGACCGGGAGCGGGACCGAGACCGGCTGTAATGCCTGCGTGAGCCGCGGTGGGAGCTGCAGACAGACAGAAACAATGCTTCCACACTCACGTGACTTCGGCCTATTCCAGTTCCAAGTAGGGGTGTAAGAAAATATTGATACACTGAAATATCGCGATATTTCATTTCCCGATGCTGTATCGATATTCTAAAGCCCTGTATCGATTTTTAATTAAGGTTTAAAATGTCAACTTTCCTGCCGGCCATTCATTTTTGTGTTGTAGTTCAGCCTCTGACCACTAGTTAGCAGCAGTGTGCCAGCCATTTGGCTCCTCTACCTCTTGAGCCCCAGAGAGTAAGAGAGCATTAGCATTGTAAGTAAACAGATTCATGCACCGATAGCTGAATCTGAGCGGAAAAGACCGACACCCTCTGCCTTCTATGCTGAGGTAAGGTTACAAACAGTTACTTATTTGTCAGAATGTCTGTATTTTAAGCCAAATTAAGTGTCTTGTGCGCTCTTTTTTCCAACTGTAGTCAGCTTTCACTTTACGCATATAGCGCATGCGTCTATCACCTCAAGCGAGCTCGGCACTCCCCCCGTGACATAAAACTCTGTCTGTTGCTCTCAAAGTCCGGCTGATGATCGCATCAAAGTCCATGTACTTTATCCTGCTGTGTTCGCTTCAAAAACGGTTTAACTCGTTTAGCTTCTCAATTTCTTAACTGGTTTTCTTCAGGACCTGCCCTGCTGTTCGACCCACAGTTATACAAATCAGGTTCTGGATGCAGGTCAGCTGATCCCAGAAACTCTGTGTGCAGCAGCTTCATATCATCTGTTTACTGAACTTTATGACAACATAAATGCTATTGTTAAGTGTTGGGTGACCTTATTGTAAATTAATATTAAAAATGAAAAGCTGCAAAAAATATATTTTCAAACTATTTATTGGCAAATTTAGTCTAATAATTGAAAACCTGGATGAAATAAGAAATATGAAACAAATAAAATAAAACACATACAAAGCAAAACACAGCTAAATGTATCAAAAGTATGTATATGTAATATTAGGATTTTCTGAGACAATGAATTTTTTTTTTTTCCTCCAGTAAGAGGTTTTTATTTAATAGAATTTTTTGGTCCAAAAATATCGCAATATATCACCTTGTTTACAGTATCGAAATATATCGGGATATWTCGTATCGTGACCCCTCAGTCATGATATGTATCGTATCGCCAAATTCTTGCCAATACACAGCCCCAGTTCCAAGTGCTACATATTTACCACGCAACTCACCCAGATCTGGACCTGGACCGAGACCAGGATTTAGAGCGGGAGTGTCGGGAGCCATCCTTTGAACGGGCAGGTGAATGATCTGGGGAGCGGCTTGCCGACTTCCCAGAGCCGCGTGGACTCACGCTCCTGGAGGAGGAGCGAGACTCCTGAATGAACCAACAAGATCAACACGTTATCATCAAAAATGAGGCAACTGGACACATTTTCTCAAATAATGGTGAAATAGTAAATTGCAATAAAAAGGCTAAAGTTATTTTGTTTAAACAAGGAATGTATAACAATATGATTACATTAATTAATATGAATAAATAAGTAACATGGTGTAAAGTAAAACAGATCTTTCAGTTGTGAATAAAATTGCAGAGATAAAAAAAATTAAGAGATGTGTTGTGTTCAAAAACAAGGACATGCACGCATTTGACAAATAGACCAGAAAATTACTTAGCACAGTGACCTTATCCAGCTTACTTCCTTAACTTCATTTCTGTAACTTCATTACTTCACAAATTTCTTCTTTCTTCAATTGTCTTACATCTTCTGACTTCCCCCTTCTCACACACTGCTCATAGTTCTTCCCTCCTCATGTTTTAGCATGCATTCAACAATTCAGCTTCACACATCTGAGCTTCACATTACAGAAAATAAAGTGGACAAGAGACTTCTTCTGCATTTTCTTCGTCCAATCTTAACCTTAATGAAAAAGAAAAGGATGAATATATGACTACATTTGAAACGGTACGCTCATTTTACTTTTCATGTGTTAAGATCGTGAATAGGAGCATGAATAGRAATTTAAAATATCAATTTTTTTTCAGTAATTCACCTTCAGTGGTTCTGCGTTTACCAATGTTTTTTTTTAATATATATTGAAAATTTTCAACAAAAATAACAAAGAAAGSTGCAGTAATCTAAAAAAAAAACTGTTGCTCAGCCTGGGGTAAAAATATTAAGTTTTCTACCCTGACTGAATTAAAAAAAAATAGATACATTTGCATCAAAAATATATTGTTTTAACTGTGCAAGCACATATGCAGTGCACTACAGACTGATAAAAACACAGTCCAATTGGTTTGGAAAAAAAATAATCTTGCTAAAAAAATAACAAATKACCTTGTTTGCATCATTTCAAACCACTGAATGTGAATAAACCATGTTCACAATTAAACCCATCAGTTGTGGCATCTCCTCCACAAAATGAAATAAATCAGTCGAAACAACCTCAAGACTCAGCTGTCACTCATTTGCATTTATCTTAGCTTTATTTGTATTTACCTCTATTTGCAGCTGTCATCAAAACGTGTTGCTGCTAAACCTCATCTAAACAAAATTTGTGTGCACGTCCAGTAGGGTTGGGCGATATTGACAAAAAAATTAATCACGATTAATTACTGTATTCAGACGATGACGATTAATCCGCCTGTAGTCTCTGGATACCCTTATGTCCTGGTCACATGACCAATTTAGTGGGAAAGATTCGCTCTTCGTAAAAATCTTTTTCAAACTGTGTCAAAATCACAGACTTCAGGCTGCACATCAAAATTTAAATTGTGTTGATAAATAAATTACAGGACTTTTGTTTGAATATTCGTCACATTTGAAGCGGAGAGGAGCAGCGAGCGGACTGACCGGAGTAATCCCGTCAGTCTGCCTGCTGGCATTAATCGTATTAATCGTCAAGTGCCAAAAAATAAACAGATTAATGTTTTTTTGACGATTAACTGCAGACGATACGATTATGCCCAACCCTAACGTCCAGTGTATTTTACTTTCCAAAGATGATTAGGGTACCTGCAGTTTAGTTACTTGTAGTATTGAAAATTATGACAAGAACTTGAACAGCAAATATAGTTTATTTCTATTCGTAATGATTGCTTTTAATCTTGTGAAATATGACTCCAATATCATACTACTGGCAATCATAATTCAAAGTGATTCCAGACAGTATATCAATAACTTATATCAATAACTCTAACTTGCACATACAGTACTTCAAAATGCTTGCATGCATGTTTAAGATAATATTGTCTAAACTGTAGTAGAGAGAATTATGTTTGGAAAACATGGTACGATAGTGAAAAAAAAAACTATTCTGCAAATATATGTGGTCAATTAAAATTAAAGCCCAAAGGTGCAAGATAATGCAAATGAGTCAGGAAAAATCTCAAAGCTGTTCAGCTTCAAATAAGTTTCTTATGGCTTCATCATGGTTTCATTCATTGACTGGACGAACCTACAAAAACGAGGAAAACCCAGATGATATCTCTAAAGGCAATTTACATCATTAAACAGCGATGCTCTACCAAAATGCAGTTTAATAGGTGCGACACACATTGAATAGCTATTTCATWAACAAAACCTAATTTTACAGAGAAAATAAGCAAAGCACGTACATAAACAAACATTGGACGTTCCTGTCGACATTCTAGCATATTCTAATTAAGCTAATGTAAGTCTTAGCTTTTGAGTCGTATAGAAAATTTATTAACACGCAAATAAACAACCTTCAACAAATAAAAGTACAGAAGACCCTTACGACGGCATTGCATTTTGTGTAAAATTACTTACGAACTGTGATATTCAAAAAAATAAAGCAGGAATTACTTGAGGCCTAGCTAGTTAGCATTAGCTAGTTAGCCTAATTTATAACTACACGCGCTTCACTACATTAAAACATGCATTCTGTCCGTCAGAGCTTCCAAAAAAAGCACTTGTTTGCAACATAAAATAAATAAGCTAAATGTATTTCGACTATATACTGCAGCTTAATGTATAAATATAAACTTAGCCGTCAAAATAAAAACGCCCGCTAATGCTAATTCAACGACACATAGAGAACCATATAACATTTATGCATTGAAAATACATATATCTTTAAAAACATACAACTAAATCAGTTCATACCCGGTCTTTGTCATTGTCGCTCATTTTTGAGATGGTGATTATTCTAGTTGGATGATTATTGCWGCGGTCCATTTCCTTCAGAAGTCGCAACTGTCGCGAACAGAAGCTCCGCCCRACAACTTCCGTTTAACACAATAAAAGCTCAGCGAAGCACCTTCCGGGAAATACCACAAAAACACAAATAAATTAAATTTGTTATTTATTGGTTACATTCGTAGTTACATTAAAAAATAGAATTATCTTTTGAGTGCATCTAAAAAAGGGCAGACATATATAAAGCGCTTAAAAGAAATAATTAAGTAAAAGTAAAATTACCTTAACAGGAAATGACGTTGGTGAAAATTGAATTCACTGATAAGAAAACTACTTACAGGTAAGTAAAAGTCATAAACCTGAACACAATAATCAGAAAAGTAAAAGCAGAAGTATTTTTACTCACACTTTAAGAAACAGTGTTGACTTTACTTAACCAAACTGGTTCCACTAAACTGAGTTGAATAAGTTTGCTCAACTCGGTTTTGTGGACCTAAAGKACTTAYTACAGATAAAAGAACATGAAAAGGTCACTCTGGACTATATCAAAGAGTGCTGTTTGAAAGAGTTTACTCCAGTAGTTTAGTAAATYTGTTGAAATGCAGGTACGCACTCAATGTAAAYGAAGCACAACTAGAAGCTTGAGTTRCCTGACTGATCTGCATTAAGCTGGCCRCAGTCTGTGGAGGCAAATAAATTTGGCAAAATCAGATGCGTAGAATCTAAGAAACTGTTTAGACAAAAAATATGAGTTAATCTGATAAACATGAAGGTTAAAAACAAGATGAGCAAGGATCATTTGGATAAATTGTRAAGATATTCTCTAAACAAGTTGTCTATTTCTAATCATTTCAGGTTTTTCTGTATGTAAACAAACACCTGGTCTTGTTAGAAATTATGCTTACAAATTTTAAATTCAGCACTTCGTTTTTTAGAGTGCGTAAACAACTTCTTTCAGGATGAGTTCTGGTCATATTTAAATTTGTAATGTGTAACTTTTATGTTTTGAATGAAACAAAATAAAAGTAAAACTTACTATTAAAAAATACTTGGTAATATATTACAAATCCTCAAAAAAATACTGTAATGTACTTACATTTACTGTACAAAAGGGCCATGTAAACACAAGTATTTTTGTTGCATTTTCTTTATTTGAAATCACAAAAAGCTGAGAAAGAGGCAGAAGTTTGTTCAGCCTTATTAAGAGACTTGAAATAATAATCTAAGAAGCTTCAGCACTGGGGACAGTTAATATTTGTGGAGTGCTTTTTCTATAAAATTAATTAACCCATTAATTTAATGGCAATCGGCAGATTGTACTCAAAAAGGAATGGACACAATCTAAAAGAAATGTCTATTAAACATCTATTAATTGGCATGAATCATAAATCCGTCGTCTGGCAGGACTTCACKTCGAAGGCTTCTGGGTTCAGTTACTCATTAGCACCTGTGGAGATAAGTAGAACCAATACCAATTTTAGAATTAACAGATAATTTGGACTTTCTTAGTGCTTGACTGTTGACCTTTTACTCACCACAGTCATACAGGACATTTATTTTATGAAGATCAAGCGCACTGGGTCCATCTCTCTGGCCAATGGGAATGTAAGGATCAGGTTTGGGAATGATTGTTGGTCCGCCGTCTTCAGAGAAGGCATATCTGAATCGGAGAGACATAGTGATGCTCAAGCATTAAAACAAAGAAGACATAATGAKTTTTGTCGAGCAGCAGCTCACCGTCCGTAATGCATGACTGAGCTGTAGTCGTACGGGCTGTTGAGATTATTTGTTGCGTGTTTCCTGAAGTTGTGCATGTGGTCTGTGGAAACAGGAACAGAATCTTCAGTTGATCAAAACGAGCTTAAAATAAAAGTATCGTTCGTGCGTTCCGACACAATYGTGGGGAAGTGGTCGCCCATCCAAACCTGGCATGATGTTTTTCCATACAATTGTGACATAGTGGTCCCGGTCTGAGCGGGACTGCTCGTGCACAAAGCCAAGGGCGTGCATGAACTCGTGAGCGGCGATCCCTGACCACATGCACCCGGGAGTCTGCAGCGACAAGGTCTGACTGCCTCCGGTCTGCCCCAGGAACGACCAGCAACTTGTGGAAAGAAAGCAAAAAACAAACCGTGAACATGCGTGCTAACACACACAAAAAAAARRRRAAAAAAAACAAACTTTAAAAATGGATCTTCCTCACCCATATCTAGGTTGGATATCGAGGAAGCTGGCTTCATGCGTGCGAGGAACGAACTTGATGCATGATCCAGCAGAAATGTCCTGCATACCTGTTTCTATTGTGATCCTGTCCATGTCGTCTGCAGGAAACAGACGAAACGTCAGAATAAAAACCAGTCTGTGCAGCTTTGTAACACCTTGGAACGACTGATACCGTAAAGCGGGGAGAGGATGTAGGGCACATAAACAAATCCATCGATAGATTTAGGCCACAGACAGGCGTTCCCAGGGCAGTCTATGGCACTCCGCACATAAGAGAAGGCGATATCTCCCTCTTTGAAGGAAAGACCTCTGGGGACTCTCAGCTCTAATGTGCAAATAAAAWGTTAGAGTTCAGAAAGAAGAAGCACAGCTCGACTCCAGTTTGTGTAAACTTACTGCTGTTGACTTCCAGGATTTGRTCCATAGCAGTCATATCATCAAAGTCTGGCAGTTCATCTGAACATAAAAAAGACACTTCCTTTTAATTTCCAAACCGTAAAATTTTATCAGCATCAAACAAAAGTTCTGAACGCTCACCAGAGTATTTCCTCTTCAATCTTGCTTTGCTTTCTTGTAACTCAGTTGAATTCTGTCGAACAAAAGTACACGTTAACATACAAAATCTGCAAAATACAACAAAATATCTCTGTTTTTGATACTGACCTTAACAGGTAGCATGTCCGCTTGGTTTAGGAAGCCAAACAGGACACCCAGAAGCATGATCATAGAGTTCATGGTTGCCTTTTTTTTACAACAGTTTGCTGTCTCTCGATGCAAGAGTTCAGTAAAGGCACCAGCTCCAAGTGAATCTATATACCTGCTTCTCCTCCACAGCTCTGTACTGATTGGACCTCTCTTCTGTGATGAGGCACACCACAAAACCCCTCATCAACACGCGGGTGTAATTTACTCAAGTCCACTASTGAGCCGCGACAGGTGGTCCCGATGCTGACCTTCATTATTCAGCACTTTCAGAAATGAGACACTTAGAGGGTGTTTTGCTGGACGTGCCACAGCAGCTGCCATCAGAGGAATAACTGTCCATCCAGGCCTACAGACCACCAATTTGAGTCTGACTGGATGGGCAACCTGTGATTTTGTGATATACTATCAGCTGGGAATAACAACAATCACTTTGTCACGTGAGTAAATATAGGCAAACAGGACTTTTGTGATCCTTGGTCAATTTTTTTAAATTCTGGTTAAGGGGATAATTTTCAAGTGCAGGCACTCAGGGAGGTGTTGTGGTTTTATGATTATTATATATTAGCATTAACAAAGTGAGAGTGCATGGATAAGAGTGCAAAACCTGCACATATAAACTGCTTTTTTTGTCAATTTAAATTAGTTTAAACAGATCTGAGGGTATTTTTATACGTTATTTCTTTTCAAATACCTTATAGATGTCTTTAATGTAAAACAATCAGTGTTCAGGCAAGATTTATTCATCCGGGATGTTTTTATTATAGTGAGTGAAGACATTTTGAACAAGAATGGTTTAAAACAACAGAGGTTTACAGCATGAAGTGATGTAATTTGCTTAAAAAGACAACTTTATTTTGACTAAAGAAGAGCKGACAGAAAGCCTGAAGGAATCTTTATCGAAACTGTCGCAGGACTCGGCTCTCGGGGAACTCCCGCTTCGCCTCAGTTCGGTTTCTAATCATCACTGACAGCTGCAGAGAGACACAGAAAAAAAGTCAAACCTTTCCCAACAGGTTTATAGTAGCTCTAAAAAATAAAGAAAAGCTGCAGTATGTGTGGATTTTTTACGAACTGCATTGATAAAGTTTGTTGATTTTCAGTTTGTCAATGTGGCTGAGAGACAAAGCCTGGCCCAGCTTGATGTTCTTGTTGTTCTTAGGAACGATGGTTGGTTCTCCGTCCATCGAGTAGGAGTACCTAAACACGTACAGGTGTTACGATGAATGCAAATCTGCTGAGCGGTACACACACACACACACACGAACGACCACTTACATCCCAAAGTGCATGATGGAGCCGTAGTCGTACGGAAGGTCCAGATTCTCAGTTTTAAACTTCTCAAAGTTTCTGAGCCGATCTGTTAAGAAATAAAGATAAGACGGCAACAATCAATGTAAGGGTCTGGTGGCAGGATGTAAAAACATCACTGTCTAATAAAATTTCTAAGTAAAATTTCTTAAATTCTCTACAGATTTTGTAAGTCGTGATTTGACGTTAGAAATCTCTCTCTCTCTCTCTCGTTTTGATATTACCTCTCCAGATTTTTGGCCACATGATGGTGACATAATTGTCACGGTCGAAGCGGGACTGCTCGTGCACGAAGCCCAGGGCGTGCATAAATTCGTGGGCGATCACTCCCAACTCCATGCAGTCGGGATTCTGCAAAGACAAGGTCTGCCTTCCACCACGAGAACCAAGGTAGGACCAACATCTTCATTTAGGATTTCAGTAGAAAAGAAAGGCAAAAATCTGTTTTAACTTCCCACTGCACACTTTATCACAAAAAAGAGACTGGATTAGGACTTTTTCATAAGAACTCACCCAGACTTTGGCTGGATGTCGATGTAGTCTCTCTGGTGAGTCCGAGGAACAAAACGAACGCAGGTGTCATCCTCTATTTTTTCCATTCCCTTCGTTATCAGCTGTGTCTCGATGTTAGCTGAGTAAAAGCATAGGGGATAAATATCACACACTTTCTTGCAAATTTGATGTATAATATTGCATTGATCAACCGCTGTTAACACCTACTGTATTCAGGTGAAAGTGTGTACGCAATGTAGACATGTCCGTCCACCGATTTGGTCCAGAGGCAGCTCCGAGCGAAGCAGACTCTGGAGCGTCTCCCGGCAGAAACAGCGATGTCTCCCTCTCTGAGAGTCGTGGTGCCGTCGATGATTCGATTGGCTTACGCAGAAATGAGTGATAATGAAATCGTTAAGGATAAAAGAGAAAAAAAGGGGGTAGTGTTCACAGGATTTGCATAAAAACTCACCGTGAAACTCATTGGTTTTGATTATTTTATCCATCACCGTCTCATCGCCGCGTCCTTCACGCTCTAAAGCAGAAAACCCAGTCAGTGTGTGCAGCTCATGGTGCACTGATTTAACTGGAACAATAACAGAGGAGGTCTGATTGTTTTACCTCTGTGGCCAGCGGGAACCCATTTCGAACTCAGCAAGAAACTCTGCAAAAACCACAAGAAAAGCAGCTCAGTAAAACCCTTTTTCTCCCTTTTAATTGTCACTGCGTGTTTACCTGAGCGTGCACAGCCGAGAGGCAGGTGGAAAGCACCCACAGGAGGATCATCTGCTCCATCTTTGCAAGTCAGGTGTGCCTTCCAGTGTTGCCATTTGACCCACGCTAACACCCAGTTTTATAGGTGTTCCCAGTCACTGTCCGCAGATAAGACCCGTGATTATCTCAGGTAAATTACAGGGATCTTGTTATTTGTTTGCGAGTGACTTTAATCCTCTAATTAGTTTGATTTTTTTTATTTTTTCCAAAAACAACACCTGTGACAGCAGTGTAATGTGAGGTCCTATACTGCATAATAACAGATCATATTCAATGAGCAGCTTTAAATGAAACGGTTTAATGTTTGGCTCAGGATCGGTACAATTTTGGGATTTAAATGGCATGTTCCTTTACTCCGAGTACTGTTTTCTTTCTGCTGAAACTAAGCTCACCCAAAGTTCTCATGCTCTGTTATGCAGCTAATTTCAGATCATAACATATTCTTACCCACATTCTCTAATGCCTCAAAGACCTGATCTTTCTTCAGTAATGTGTGGCTGCACGCAAACAGGATTATCTCTGACTGATACACAAGATACTTCTTGCTAATAAACAATCTTTTCAATTTAGCTTATTAAACTTGGACAATGTGCTGAAAAACTGACACAAAATTAATGAGAAGGATGCTCCGTTAAGGTTGAAAATCCAGAATTTGCTCATATTTCAAATTATTAAACTAAAAAAATAGGCTAAAATTTATTATTATTATTTGGTTATATGAACATCATCTAAGCTACCAGAAACAACTCATGTAACACAGTATTGTTAGCTTCTTAAAATATTGGCAGTTTGAAAGCCTAATGTCAAGCTTGTAAATTAATTAACCCCTTAAAATTTGGCCTGAAATTCCTTAAAAGCCTCTGGACATTTTTAATTTTATTTAAGGTGTCATGCTAAAGGTAAGAACCAGAGGAAGTCATCTGACACTTAAAAAAAACAGCCCCTGGTAGCATCTGGAAA